AAAGCCTGTTTGGGAATTAGGGGGGACTCGCAGGTCACACCCTACTTAGCATCAGAATAGCCCAAAAGACTTACATGCAGAAGGGTCTTTGGGCCCAAAAGCCTGAAAATATGAGTCCTTTGAAGGTAAGCGTAAACACTTGCAGTGCTCAGACTTCTAGCCATGTCGCACTCAGCTGTCGGGTCCATCGAGATGGCTTTGCACGGAGCTGAATCGGCCACCTGTCCGATTGTTCGAAGCTCCGAGCCTATGGCTCTAGCGTCTCATGGTTTCAGGCTTTGGGTCAATAGTTCCTTTCGTGGCGGATTAGAAGACACCGGCCACCACAGCCCTGAATTCTTCAGGTTCGATGTAGTACCCATTAGTTTCTTATCATGGGATCCTAGCCATGCAGTATAGGCAGAATAGGTGAACAACAAAGGTATCCGGTTCGGGAACTATAGGTTCTATGGCATGGTTCCCTTTAGAACCTCAACGCCTTTCAGGTTTTTTCTTCCTTCAGGAATTGGTGAACCCCCAGCGCACAGAAGTACATTGGAGACTCGAGGCATAGCCCTAAATCCTAAACTCTAAACCCTAAGTTCAGGTCAAAGGGCATGGGGCTTAGTCTGGGTTCAGTCGGGTTCTTCACAATTCTAACCATATATTCCGTTCTGCAATCCCTTTAAGCCCTTACTCATTCTACACATATCATAATATACCACAAGCCTTATTCTCTAAGGTTTTAGGGCCCCTATTGCGATTTGTGAAAAAGCGCAAGGCTAGCGGCAGCGTGCCTAATTATGTGGAAAGCCCGCCCCACTGAATCGAGCAACTCAAGCTCTAAACCCCGGAGCCTGGGTTAAAGCCCTGTAGGCCTTTAACCATGAGTTTATAGGGTTTTTGGGTATAGGATTTAGGGCTTAGGGTCCCTGTACTCATATAGGGTTCCTTTTTTTAACCCTGAATCGAATCTTGATTGGCTTTTCTGTGATCCCTGGCACCTAGTGCCTCGGTCCGCCCATAGCATGTATCCACTGAACCCTAGGGTTTGGGGTTTAGGGTTTAGGGGTTTAGGGTTTAGGGTTTAGGGGTTGGTGTTTAGGGGTTTAGGGTTTAGGGTTTAGGGGTTGGGGTTTAGGGGTTTAGGGTTTAGGGTTTAGGGCTACCTGAACGCCAAATAACCTACCCTAAGGGTCCAAAGGACCTAACAATCGTGTACTTGGGTTACGGATAGTCGTTTTGTAGGTTAGTATTCAGAAGAGTATATGATTATTAGGTACTTGGACCCTTAGGGCTACCTGTCTAAGAATTTGCACAAGGAACATACATTCAGGCACCCCAAGCAGGTAGGTTTCTTAGGATCGAGGCAAACCCGAAGACTAAACCTACCCCCGGGCGAAGCAAGCGCAACAACTCTTGCTGAAGTATCCTAGTTAGCTGACAGCTAAGGAAGCATGGCACCCAGCTAGAGCTTCCTTTTCAATCGAGCCCGAAGCCACGAACCCGACAATCTGAAAAGACCTCAAAGGAATTTGTAAAGAGAGATACGGACCCAAGACCCCAAACTCTAAACCCTAAACACTAAGCCCCAAAATCGTAAATCCTTACAATAACTCGAAACCTGAACCCTTAACCGGCAACCCAAAGCCACCACGCCGGGTCATAGCCAAGGGCAACTTACAGCTGATAAGTACAACAACCTATATGTAGATCTGCTGTGCAGAATAACAAATCTTACACAAATCCCACCCAAACCAGCAAAAACATTGTCCCATCACGCAAAGCCCGAGAGAACAAAATCGTGTAAAGCCTTATCGCCAATATAAGCTCTTAGAACAAAATCCTAAACCCTAGCCATCCCTACTTGGAGGCTCATGGGACTTAGTAACTAGGGTTATAAATAAGGTAACTATACTTATAATTACTTATAGCCCCAATTCAGGAACTTATAACCTTAACTTACTAAGTCCCATGATCCTTCAAGTAGAAATCCTAAAGCCTAGCCATCCCTAAACCCTAAATCCCTAATACCCTAACCCTAAACCCTAAACCCTAAACCCTAAAACCAAAAAAAACCTAAGCCCTAGCCATCCCTGACCCTCATCCCCAAGCCAACGATCCGAGGCCAGCTTTGATTCTGCAGCGCTGATTCCGGCAAGTTGGCCTCGTCCTGAGCCCCGAGCCTGGCCGCCCCAACCTGCCAGAAACAGGACCGGTAGCACCGTGTTTTGAATTTTTATAGGGTTCTGTAAGGCTTAGATGGCTTATCTGATTTGTGTAGGAATATGTGACAGCACATTGTCACATTATCGGCTGCAGGGGTTGTAGAGAGTCCCCCAGAGGCGTTTTAAGAGCAGTGTGGGGTTGCCTTTTGGTTAAAATGGGGTGTTCGGACGGTCTAAAACGTTTGGCGTGTTAGGGTTCTGATGTTATGGTAGTATGTGGTACGAGGCGGTATGATGTGACATCACATGACATGATATGTTGTGATGTGATTCGAGGTGAGAGGTATGTGTTGTTCAGTCATTACGAGAGATGTGGTATGTGTTGTGAAGTATGAGACATGGAATATGGTATCTGGTATATAGCGCATGTTAGATGGTACCCGGTCGCTTTATGTGTATATATGTACACACACACTCAAACAATGTTTGTGTGTGTGTGTGTGTGTTTACAGACTTACGCGTTTACATATCTATGCACATAATATATATACATATATATATATATGTAAAATATATACACACATATATGTGTATTATATGTACATGTATATGTACATGTGTATGTATATGTGTATGTGTATGTGTATGTGTATATGTATATGTATATGTATACGTATATATATATACACATGTATATACGAATATGTGTATGTATATGTATATGTATATGTATATGTACATGTACATGTACATGTACATGTACATGTACATGTAGATGTATATGTACATGTGCATGTATATGTATGTGTATACGTAGATGTATATGTATATGTATGTGTATATGTGTTTACAAGATATACATGAGTTTGTGTGTATATACATATATGTATGTAGGTATGTATGTACGTACATATGTATGTATGTATGTTTGTATGTATGTTTGTTTGTCTGTTTGTATGTATGTTTGTTTGTTTGTTTGTACGTGTATGTTTGTGTGTACGTATGTATGTATGTATTGATGTATGTACGTATGTAGGTAGGTAGGTAGGTAGGTAGGTAGGTAGGTAGGTAGGTATTTGTGTGTGCATGTGTACATGTGTTTATATGTCATATCAGAGTATATTGTGTTACCTTGTTCGTTGCTCTTGCACGGTCTGTTCTGCTAAACACTTTATTGTATAGTAGTTTGCATGAACACCTGAATGCTCTATATATATATATATACAGAGATGTTCATATACACATACATCTACATATCCATACACATACACATATACACATACATATACCATACATACACATACATATGTATATGCACGTGCATACATACATACATGCCTACACACACCTTTTTAATTACCCTGGACCACATTTTTGAACATCTGGTTGCAGGAAATCCATGCTGGCCGAGTCGCAACTCTTGAAACTGCAGACAGGCGAAGGACTTTCGCTTAAGGCGTGGTGCATTCAGAGTCCTCATACGGTTGATGATACAAATCCTGCATTGCCCATCATAAGGAACATACCATAATTTCCATGGTTTAGGGTCCTTCAGGTAATGCACGATTAATATCATCAACAGTAGGTTTGGGTTTTTAGGGTCTGCAGGCTGTCGCAGGTTTAGGTTGAGGGTTTTGGGTCTAGTAAAGGTTTTGCAGCGTTTAGGCTGCATAGGGTCAACAGGGTTTTGGGGTTCAATGAGTGCGTTAGGGGGAGATGAAGGGTTCGATTCAAGCGTATGTTTGTAGGGTTTCCACTTGATCCAAACAAAGCACAGCAGGTTTAGGGTGCAAGGACGTGTAAGGGTTCAGGGTTTCGGGGCTGGAGGCATGTGGATGTCACTTGATTCTGATTCTTTTCGCTTCACTGACTTTAGCATGTTGCAGGTGTTTGCCGGGATCATATCCATCTTGGGTCTAGTAAAATGGGGCGACAAGCAAGAGACAAACCGAATGACACATTAATGTTCCTAAACCACTAAACCCTAAACCCTAAACCCTGATTCATGCGTAGTGCTCATTGAAAGGGGAAGTCTCTCTCTCTCTCTCTCTCTCGACTCTACATATGTAATATGTAAATACGGATATCTTTCTGTGGCAAGATACATAGGTATGAGAATACATATATATATATATATGTGTGTATATGTATATGTGTGTGTTCATACATGTTAGTGCTATTGTTCGCATATATGAATATGAGTATCTATATCTATACAAATATATGTTCATATACATGTAACGCGCAGGTAGCATTTGTTGAAGCGGTAAGGTAGCATGTATTGTTTCTGAAGCAGGAGCATCTCGGAAGATCTGGCATGCACAGCTTGCGGTGGTTCTCTATACACTTGCCCGTGTCGTCGCCAACTTGACTTCTGTGCATCTCATCGCAGAGGGCGCAGAAAGGAATTTTTTCGTTGCGCCAGCACTGATTTGCGATGGCTTGGTGAGGCCCCTGGCTGGTGGCTGTGGGATGTTGATTTTGTATTGCCGCTTTGAGCGGCTGTCGCAGCCATCGTTGTGTTTCTGGACCCGAGGGGCCTTGTACTGCCTCTCATCTTGCCACTGCGACGTTGCCGTTTTTCTGTGGGGAGGTGCGATCACCGCGCCAATGGCAGCATTCTCAATATTTGCGTGGGGAGGCTGTTGTCATGCAATACAGATGCAGATGTCGAATCTCAAGCTGCATGTGCTGGGCCTGAAGCAAACTGCACGGCTTTGCCAGGCGCTGACAGGCATTATGGTGTGTGCCTGGGTGTTTGTCTTTGTCACTGTTTATTCCGACAATGTCATCTGGGCTCCTAGATGGCGGATGCGAAATTCCGCCATCTTGATCGCTGTAGCCTGTACTGTGATGGGGCTGCTGGTTCAATTTCTTGGGTTGTGTTTTGCAGCTGGCAGGGCTCTGAGTTTCGGATGGCATGATTCTGGGGTTGGGCGTGCTGCCAGCTTTCTCTATGTCAATGCCATGTTGTTGCTCCTTGGCCCCTTCATGAGCATTTATGCTACTAATTGGCTTCTTGAATTTGCGGGCATGACGCTGATGACGGTGGACATATGTTTTCAGGTTCTGAACGTGCTGCTGCTGAGTGGCCTGGTCGGGCCCCAGCAGTGGCAGAATCCCATGGCTGCCTTTCAGAAGCTTGCAACACTCCAGGGGTTCGGCCTGGCGGCAAAGCGCATCGCTTTCTCCGGACACGTAAACGAAAATGCCCGGGATTGCATCGTGTCCTTTCCGGGGAAATACAGCGAGGAGTGGGACCAGGCGGTTTCTGCCGTTAAGAGCCAAGAAGCGCTGTCACTCGCCTGCGTGTTCCTAACTGACCGAGCATCCGGATTGGGTGCCCACTGCGACAACCCCGATGAGCCGGGAGAGTGCTGGTGCCGTGCCATCTACGGGCACCTCCCTGCTTCCACGTACATAAGTGTTGTCGACATGCGACCTGCAATGCAAAATTCCCAAGCCCCGATCGAATTGGAGTTCAAGCGAGCAGATGCAGTGGCGATGGGGCAGCGCCTGGCAACTTGGTTCGGCACCAATGCTAGCATGGTAAATGTTCAAAACTTCGTTGCCTCGAACGCAATGTCGGTTACACCAGCAGGTTCCCCTTTGCCAATCTGTAGCACAATTTACTATTACATACCGTTCGCATCATATGTGCGCACGTGGAGGCTGCTCCCCATCCTCCTCGGACCCCGAACTGCAGGATTTTAAACTCGGTACGGTTTACATCTGCTATATGCCTGGTGGTTACGGGTATGCGACGATGTGAAGGTCATCCGAGAAGAGCATTATGGTGAACTGGAGTGGCAGCGGGAGCTCGCCGACGCTGAGGAGGATGCCCGTGCACGCTGTGCTGCAAACCACGGAAGAGCTCCATGGGGCTGCCGCTGGTTCGATGACTGGAGGAGGAGCCTTGCTCAGTGCAGTTTTGGCGCTTGCAAAAGCATTTCAGAGCTTAGTTAGGGCTTTAAGCTTGTAGGGTCCAGGGCTCAGGGTTCAAGGCTGCTCGAGGACAGCAAGAGACTTGCTCTTGATGATAAGCTGAGGGAGCCTGGCCCCCTGTATATCTAGGAGGTATATATGCACTATCTGTGTCTATATATATATATATGTGTGTGTGTGTGTGAACATGCATCCATGCACGCATTCGTGCATGCACGCATGTATGTATGTAAGTAAGTAAGTACATAAGTAAGTAAGTAAGTAAGTAAGTAAGTAAGTAAGTAAGTAAGTAAGTAAGTAAGTAAGTAAGTAAGTAAGTAAGTAAGTAAGCAAATAAGTGTACGTAAGTAAATGTATGTATGTATGTATGTATGTATGTATGTATGTATGTATGTGTGTGTATGTTTGTATGTATGTATGTACGTGTGTGTGTGTATGTGTGTGTGTATGTATGTATGTATGTATGTATGTATGTATGTATGTATGTATGTCTATGTATGTATGTATGTATGTATGTGCGTGTGTGTATGCAGGTGTGTAGGTATGTAGGTATGTATGTATGTTTGTTTGTTTGTTTGTTTGTATGTGTTTGTATGTTTGTGGGTACATATGTAAGTATATATGTACGTATGCATGTATGTATCTGTGCATGTATGAATGAATGTATGTGTGTAAATACTTGCATGCATGCATGCATGCATGCATGCATGCATACATACATATATTCTATACACATACTTTTTTTACTTAGGTACATGCATACAGGAGCACACACGTACATGGGTACATACCATACCCTATTGTGTATACTGTCATACCGTCATAGGGTAAACAAACTAGATACAGATACTATATATAGATATGTATATATATATATATGTGCGTATACATGTAACGTAGACGTGAACCCTGAAGCACAGAACATGCAATTGTGAAGTTTGTGCTGGAAAGTATAGTGTGAGAGAGACAAGCCCGGTGCCTAAACCCTAAACCCTAAACCCTAAACCCCAAAACCCTAAACTCATAAAACCCTAAAAGAACCGTATAAACGAGAGACATTCGCGAGAAGACCGAGGAATGTGGACAAGGCCGTGGAGCTCAAGCAAACCCTCCATGTCTTCTATTTCGAGGACCTCAACCCCTGAGCCCCAATGACCACAAAGCCCTAAACCATAAATCTCCGAAACCGCAGACCGAAATCCTAAGCCCTACACCCCCAAACCAAAGATGAAGCCTGAAGCCTTAAGCCCCAAGACTCCAAACCGCTTTGGAGATGGCACTTACAATCCAAAGTCGACAGTGCCATGAAATGCCGGTAACAAAATGTCTCGCGCCATTCACAACACGTGTTCTTCGGTTTCAGGCTGAATTGGCGATGAATGTCTGATGAACCAAAAAACAATATTCTGAAATCGAAGCTCTTAAATCCTCAATCCCCCAAATCCATCATACCCTAAACCCTACACCCTAAA